AGTCACTGGAGAGGGAGGCAATGTCAGTCCTTTTAACTCTCTGGAGAAATGGGCAGTGTCTGCCGCCATCACCTGGTCCAGATGTGCAGGACCTGTGCAGGGCCTATGTTGGTTAGTTTTATGTCAGCAGACACAAGCCTGAGTCCTTTGGGAGGGGTGCAATTTGATGAGCTGGTATGTATGGGAAAGGGAGCCCCCCTTTTCTGAGAAAAAGGGGGGAGGGAGGGGGAGGGAGGGGAAGAAGAACGGTGCTACAACAAGGATGTGAAGTGAATAAAAAATAAAAGATTTGCCTCTAGGCCAGTCTGTGGGGAATTTTTTGATTAAGGTGGGAGCGCCCAGCTCACTGGGGGCAGTGCCACCCCTGGGCAAATGATCTTGGATGGTATAAGAAAGCAGACTAAAAAGCCATGGGGAGCCAGCCAGTCAGTAAGCAGCATCCCTCCATGGCCTCTGAATCAGATCCTGTCTACAAAATCCTGTCTTGAGTTCCTGTCTAGACTTCTCTCGGTGATGAGCTGTGATCTGAGATTGTAGATGAAAATAAACCTGTTTTTCCACAACTTATTTTTGGTCATAGCATCTTATCCCAGTGATAGAAATCCCAGGACACGGCTCTTCTCAGTGGAAAAGGGCAAGGCTGCCTAACCAGGAAACCTGCAAGGGAGGCGTTCTGCCCACTGGGAATGAGTGGTGTAAGAGTGATTATCTCCATGATACAAACTTCTAGAGTCTTGTGGGCAGAGGGGCAGGACTAGCTCCACCAACACTTGGGTCTACCTGCTCCTTGTGGGGTGGAAAGTCAGCTTCCCTAGCTATGAAAAGAGCGCCCTTTCAACTTTCACTTTTCATCTCAAACTGTACAGGACTCTGATCCTGAAACTTCAAGCCTAGAAGAGCAGGAAAAACAGGCCGGGGGCGGGGGGAGGGGAGCATGCCCACCTCTGCCCATCCTGGGCTTCTGCACCTAATTCCGAAGGGCAGGTAGCACGGACACTTCTTTCTATAGTATGTTATTTCTGCTGACACAAGAGCTACCCTGAGCTGACCACTGGGCTGGATGCAGCTGAGGGTCAAGCCTTCTGAGGGAACATTGCGATGGGTGGGCTGTATAAAGGGTGTATAAAGGGTCTGTGGTTGTATGAGAAGGAAGATAAATGTAAGCCAGGATTAGAAAGTGAATCTGAGTCATGCAATCTAGAGATGAACCCAGCTCTGCAAGTGGAGAAAACAGACCTTCCGCCTCTCCCAGAAAGCAAAGGATCCTGGGTGGATGGGCCCCAGGGATGGTCAGGATGCTCACTCCCATGTGTGGTGTGTGTGTGTGTGTGTGTGTGTGTGTGTGTGTGTGTGTGTGTGACAATCTCAAGTGCCCTTCCTCAAGCTCCATCCACCCTCAGGCTTCTCCTCCTGAGCCAGCCTTTCCTTGCAGCCCCCAGCAGGTGGCCCAGTTTTTGCCTGCCTCTCAGAGTTGCCTTCCTGGGGCACTGCACAGGGTATGGAGAGGGGCCTGCGATAGGATTGCAGCGTCGGCAGGCCAGACAGAGAAGAGAACTCCACTCTCTTAAACCCTCGGCTGCCTGCTCTCCGCTGGGATGGAGGGGAAATTAGCTGTCTCCTGAAAGGGCCTTCCGCCTGCCCCACCTAAAAAAGACAAATACTAGGGACCCAAGAGACTAGAAAAATGCAAACAGATGGATTTCACAAATTTGCACACTCAGATACACACCAGGAGTGTTTGCTCTCCTTTGGATAACCCCCAAGGAAGACCTTTGGTGACCTCAGGCCCAGAAAAAGGCCCTCTCTTACCTGGTCTTCTACAACCTTTGTGACATCTTCGGCTACAAGGGACATCTCATGGTAGCTGTGGCTGGATGAGAAAGGAGCGTGGCGTGTGTGAGGAGTTAGGGGCAGCCACTCTTCCACACATCCCAAAGCCTGACCCTCCCTTTACACTAAGCCCCTGGAGCCATTTGCGCCGAGAATAAGAGGGACTCACCTGGGCTCAGGAGCAGGCTCCTGCTGCGGCTCCGCACTGGCTTCCCACATGAGCGTTGAGGCTGGGGAAGGACCATATTCTCCACTCCAGGTAAGGCCCCTTCACTGGGGCTTCCCACCGTATTCAAGCCTGACCCCCGGAACCCACTGCCTGCACCCTCCCCCAGCTTTCTCCAGCTCCCAGGGTCCTTCCAGAGAATGTCTTTCTCTTTCCTTCATTCCTTGGGCCTCAGTTCTCTCTAATTCTCCACCTTGGGTCTCTTCTCAACTGACTTAGAATCGTCTGGGTCCCAGGCCTGGATGTCTGCCTCCCCTCTCACAGGTCTCCGTCCTTCCTCACACCGACTCTTTCTCTCTCCCTCAAACCAGCGCAGGCCTGTTCCCCCGGCCCCGGACTTTTCTACTTTACACCCCTTCTCACCCTGGCGCTGCACCCGCATGAACTCCGCAGCAGGCTCAACCCTGAATAGATAAAGGCAAGAGAGAAGCAAGCACAGTCTGGGCGCACGGGCTCCCATCAGGGTGCCAGGGCACTGGAGAGCCTGGCGCAGGCTCTGCTCGCAGGTGGGTCACGCCTCCTCTCGGCAGCAGCAACCCCTGGTCTCTCACGCCCAGCAGCTCTCTTAGGCCCTCCTCTCGTGCACTTGACTCCTCCCCTCGGCTAGAGTGACAGGACTGCCCAGCTCATTACCATAAATTACAGCCCAGCCTCTGTCCTTCACCGCCATTGTAACTACCCTTCCCTAGGGGAGCAGGGAGGCAACCTGGGCAGACTCCAAACCCCTCACCTGGGTCCGAGAAGCCCCTTCCACTACAGACCAGATACATATTCTAGTCCAGTCTGGTGCTACCTATACTCTCCTTTTACAGAGGGCCACACTGAGGCCCGGCACTCGGCAGGCAGTAGTAGAGACAGGGCTCGGGCTGGCTGTGCTCCCCGACCCTGGCTTCCATCTGGGCCCCAAGTCCTAATCCTGTGTTCAGTAAGAGCTCGAGTGGGGAGGGCCATGCCTTAGCCCAGTGCTGGCTCAGGAAACTGTGAATAAGCGATGTGCTTTGTTGTCCTCATCAAGGCCAGAGTGATGACAACTTGGGATTTTTGGACAAGAGGTATTTTGTATCCAGAAAGAATTGGCCCCGCACAGCTCCTTGGGTAGGGGTGTAATTTGGGATGCGTACATTCGTTTAGCAGATTTGTTGAGAGTCTGTTTTGTGCCACTTACTGTTCTAAACATATGGTGGGTAAGCTGGCCTCTTGAAGTCACTGGCTGGGAGGCTAGGAGAGCCCTGCCGAAGACAGGGTGGCTGCAGAGCAGAGACATCTGTGGAAAAGGGAGCGGGACCCATGCCACACCAGAAATCAAATGCGAAGTAGTTTTTAAAGGATGTCTATGGTCACAGGAAAAAAAAGGCTGGGTGGCTGTAGGCCACATTCTTCTGGGTAAGGACATTCTTTGCTCTGTGTTCTAAATATGAAACCAACAGCCATGTGACATACTTAAGAAATTCAGAAGAGGCTAGAGAAATTGCTCAGTGGTTAAGAGTACTTGTTCTTGTGGAGGACTGGGGTTCAGTTCCCAGTGTCCACATGGCATCCAGCTGCCCATAACTCTAGTTCCTGAAACCTTCTTCCGTGTCCTCAGGCACCAGGCATGCACACATTGTGCATAAATATGTACAAGCCAAACATTCATTAAAATATATATATTTATATATAAAAGTATATATATAAATACACTTTTTTAAAAAAAGAGGAAGAAAGGCAGAGAATCAAAGATGTAAATCCAAACAGGATTGTATCTTATGTGGTCTTTTCTGGACCACTAAATGCCTCACGAGTCTTTCTATCTAGTTTCTGTCTTATCAAGTTATTAGCAAAGAATCCTAGTTAGTATCAACTGTCAACGTGACACAACCTGCAATCATCTGAGAGGAGCACCACGGTCACCGTGGGCCTGTGGGCTTGTCTGCAGAGATTGTCCTGATCATTAATCATTGCAGAAGGGCTAAGCCCATTGTGGGCGGCACCATTCCCTATACCGGTGGTTTATAAGCAGGCTAGCTAAGCACGAGCCCAAGACTGAGCCCGCAAAAAGCATTCTTCCATAGTTTCTTCCTCAAGTTCCTACTTGGGTTCCTGCAAGATGGAGTAAACCTTTCCTTCCCAAGGATGCTTTTGGGGACAGTGTTTGCCATAGCACCAAAGTGATACTAGATCAAAAGGTGCAAATCTGAATCACATGTTCAAGTTATTTCCCCAGACATAATTCATAACTTAATCTAGGCCATAGTTTAGCCCCCATGAAAGTAGGCTGCTGGCTAAACCCTGGCAAATGGCAGAGGGATCTAGAGAAGAGCCTTTTCACGTCTCTCAAGTTACAACTGTGCCTACCTAGTTTGGGCCACTGTTGATCTCCTTGCTCAACCTTTGAGGTGGAATGAACATATGGGACACCTACTCTGTTAAACTCAGGCACCAGTCCATGGGCCCCACCACCAGTGAATGTGCTGCTGCTTTCTGTTTTGTTGGGGGCAGAGCAGCTAAGGAAGTTGGGAGGGAAAGTGAGTCAGGCTTCAGCATTCGAGTCCACCTACATGGAGAATCTCTTACCCTCTACACCAATGCTATCACAAAAAAGTTCCAAACCTCAGCCAGATAGGTGGACGAGGCTTGCAATCCAAGTGCTTTGCAGATAGAGGTAGAAGGATCAGGAGTTCATGGCCCTCCTCCTTGGCTACAAGCTGATTTCAAGGTTTGTCTGGGCTACATCAGACACCCTTTCAGAAAGAAAAAGAAGTCTCAAACTATTCCCACCCGGCGTCTCCTCAGCCTTCTGCCTTAAACTTGTGCAACGCCAGCCTCCACCTTTAGCACCCCATCACAGCGGAGCCCTTTCCTTTCAGGGCTTCCAGGGCTGAACTTCAGGACCAGTGACTCCACCTCTAGGCTGCCCTTTCTCCACCCAGCCCCGCCCCTGCTTCTTCCAGGCCCGGCCCCTAGCCCGGAGGAAGGCAGGTCCTCAGGGCTGCCCGCAACCGGGCACCCTAAGGAGCGGTTCGAGCTGCGACGCAACTGGATCAGGCTCCAGCCATGGACCGGAAGGTGGCCCGCGAATTCCGACACAAGGTCAGAGCTGAGAGGTGCCGCGCACAATGAGGACTGTGGAGCTCCTGGTCAGGGTGGTTGGGAGATGGGCAAGAGCCCTCTCCCTTGTCTGAGAAGGCCCTTGGGCAGGCTGGGACTCCTGAAGGTGGGGGCGGGGATCCCCAGCTAAATGAGGCAGGGACAGTAGGAGCCCTGGTGTAAGGGCTTCCTCACCTGACTTCTCCGCAAAATGCCCTCCAGTGGCTGGGAACTGGACAGAGAACCCAGCTGGTAATAAAGTCTCATCCTTACTAGTGTCCTCAGCCCAGGTCTGTTGGATCTGAGCAAGAGTCTGGGCCAGGCAAGGGAGGTAGAAGGGAAACTAAGCCTTTCTTTGCCCTTTGGCCTCCACAGATGAGTTAGGAGTGACTGGGAGTCCCCTACCAGCACCAGGACATTTCAACAAGGCTGAGGGGCAGTTTTGAAATGGCACAGTCTTCAGGGGTAGGACCAAGGAGGTACTGAGGGTGTGAAGAGGCTGGCTTTGGTCTGACAGACCCCTTGATTTGAATCCTGCCTCCCTGAATATGTCCCTTACTGGGCCACATTGGTTCAAAGCCCTCCAAGACCCTCATGGAATCAGGAATTTCCTAAAGCGTTTCCCAGACTGCAGAAGCTGTGGAGGCCACCGAAGGCCACCGAAGGGCAGTGGACCCAGTAGTGGCCACCTCCTACCAGGCCCCAGATGGGGGTAAAGCCAGGGTCAACAGCTACTCACAGGCTCTGCCCAAAGAGTAGGGCAGGCGCTTGATAACATTCTGAACCCCTTCCCAGGCTGGGGGGGGGGGCTAAAGCAAGGGCTGGGTGTCTCTCTCCTCCCTTCCCACATAGAGGCCCAGAGATGCCCAGAAGGCAGCCACTGTGGAAAAACCAAGAGCTTAGGCCCAATGGCAGGGATCAGCCAGTCATTTACTTACTGTGTGCTTCAGACTCTGTGTCCCCTCATGGCTTGCCACATGGGTGGGAGGCAGGCCTGGGGCACCGAGCACTGGGATTGAGGATTGGTAGGGGCAGAAAGAGCGGAACTCCCTAAACACAAAGGCCAAGGCACGCCTGCTCTCACGGCTTGGGGAGACGGCAGAAAGTTCAGCAGGAGTGGGGAGCTGGTGAATGCCAAGGGGACCATTTGTGCTCAGCCGTGCGTGTGTGGAGAGATATCTTAGCTGCAGTTAACATTTGCTGAGTGTAGATTTCGGTCAACCCACTTTAAAGGCTCCTGTCCCCCATCTGAGCTTGAGTTTCTCTTTCCTGGCCTTGGGCTGCAAGGAACTCCGGCTTTTCTTTCACTGTCTTGCAGTGCTGTTACCTACACTTTTCCTCTTTTGAGAGAATCACCCCCCAGGGTCCCTGAGGTCTGGTGTGACTCACATTCACCCCTATGCTTACTCTCCTGGTTCTAGAGAGCCTCGGGTTCTGCGTTTCCATGACCGGGCTCCTCCTCAGAGTCATTACCTATTCATGACCCCGTGCCACAGGCAGGGCAGGTGTCTCAGTGTACAAGGCCTGGGCTGGACTTTGTGCCTTGCTGTCTCAGATATAGCAACAGCTTGTCTCTCCCAGGCTGGAGACATCCAGGAACTGAGAGGGAAGCTGAGGTAGAGACGCAGGCAAGCTGAGTGGATCTTACAGCTTGCTGTTGCTTGTTCTACAGACCTCTCCCCCTTACTGAGTGTTCTGGGCAGAGGCGCCCCTAAGCAGAAGTTTGCAATCTAGATCTTTGTTGCTAGAGTCAGTGTTTAAGGTAATGTGTTGTCATGGATGACACTGTGACTTAGAAGAAGTTACTTGCCGTCTCTGTGACCCAAGGCTCAAATCTGTAAATTTGACATACTACTTAACTAATAGGATTATCACTAGGGCTGAATGAGATCTGCGTGTGTATGAGGCTCTCTGGGAACCCCAGCACCGAGGCCAAGTCTCACTCCTGCCACTCACTGCCACAGAGACCTGGAGTAAGCGGAGCAGTCTCTGCGCTTCCGTTTCCTTCGCTGTGTGTGTGTATGTGGGGGGGGGGGGTGCAGGGCCTATGAGACAGGATTAGGTAGGAATTTGATTGTGGTGTGGCTCTGATCCCAGCCAAAGTCTGCAAGTGTTACCATTAAGGTTCCAGTTGTTGCCTTGCACGGTTCTGGTCCAAAAGCAGCCAATAGTCCTCACAGCGCTAACTGCCCTTCCCATGAGGAGGGAACAGCCTCGGCTGGAAAGGGCAGGATGAGCAGAGCTGAGTGGAGCAGCTTTTCAAAGCAGCCTCTTTGTGACCAGTCAGCTTGGAGAAACCTAGTTACTCATTTGCTCAGAAATGTTTATTGCCTCTCCAGCAATCACACATTTATGAGTAGCTCTGCGTACCCTGCCCCAGGCTGGGCCACCAGAGGTCTGGGATGAGTGAGGCCAGAAGAGTCCCTCCCTTTGCATGCATGCATTCATTCGTCTGTTTGTTTGCTCATTCATTTATGCATGTATGCAATGAACACTCACTGGCCTCCTGAACTCCAGGCGGAGTTCAAAGCGATGCAGAGCAGGACAAAGCCCCGCCCTCATCAGGAGCCTGCCCTGGTGGGGAGGACAGTTACCAGGGAAACGAACAGTATCTAAGGAAGGGGTGCTGTGATGAATGCTGGGATAAAAGTAATCCTGTGAAGGGGATAGAGAGCAGCAGGTGGTATGCTGTGCAGAGCCGCTAGGAGGACCCCCCTAAAGAGGAGACATTTGAACCTGGAAGAAGAGGGAGGAGCCATGTGGTGTACGTAGAAGAGAGAACAGGGAAAGCACCTGCTTGCTGTGCTTCAGAACAGCGGGAGGGAGGATCGCAAAGTGGAGTGTGGTGGGGGTAAGAGGGTGAGGTGCACACAATAGTGAGTTGGGGTTTTCTTCAGAGTTCAGGGGAGCCAGGTAAACCAGGCTTGGCCCTGCCGCTCTTGGAGTGGAAGGAGGACTTTACTCTGTATGAATTGGGACATGTGTCTTGCCTGCTAATTGAGGTTGGGAGTGGAGCTCACAGGCTTTTCTGTGGACTGGCTGTGGGTGTGCTAGATGAGGAGCAGGGTGGAGGGGACAGAACAAACCTGACTCTCCTTGGGATGTCTGAAATTTGAGGCACCCTGTAGCTACTGTAGCTGGAGAGGACTGTGAGAGGCTAGAGGTGATCATCTGGAGTTCTTGGGGTAGAAGTGGCATAAAGCCCTGGACAGATGTGGTCAATTGAAGATGTAAAGATGTGGGGAAGACCCAGGATATCGCCGCCAGGGGTCCAGATTAGAGGGGAAGGCAAGAGGAAGGAACACCGGATCTAGGAGAGCCAGACCTCACTTCCACACTCCCAGCGGAGTCACACTGCCAGCCCCCTTTCACTTTTGTTTTTGTTTTAAGACAGGGCCTCCTGTAGCCTGGGTAGGCTGGCCTCAAACTCACTACATTCGAAAGACTGACCTTGAATTTCTAATCCTCCTTCCACCTCCCAGGTGCTAGAGATATGGACACACACCAGGAGGCTGGCTCTCCTTGTACCTTTTATTTTGAGACAGGACCTCGATAACTCACCTAGGCTGGCCTTGAACTCTCTCCAGCCCAGGCAAGACTTGAATTTGTATCACCACTGCCTCAGTTCCTTAAGTATCTGGACTGTAATCCTGCACCACCAGGCCCAGCTAAGATGAGACTCCAGACAAGGCTATGTCCATGGCCTTGGTGGGGAAGGTCTCACAGGAAGGAGTATTGTCACTCCAGATTCTCCTACTTGTGTACATTAAATGCAGACAGCTTTTTACATGCCCGCCACACTTCAATAAGGCATTTGGCTTTCTGGTCTTTTTTGTTGTTGTTTTGTTTTATCATAAAAGATGATCCCTTTGGTTGTAAATGTCAACTTGCCACAAGCTGAAATCACCTGTAAAGAGAGTCTCAGCTGAGGACTTGAGTGGATTGGGTTGCCCATGGGCTTGTCTGTGGGCTTAACTGAGGAAGAAAGCCTTGCCCATTGTGGGTGGCACCGTTTTCTGGTCAGGGCATTCTGAACAGCGTAAGAGCACAAGCAAGCAAGCACCAGGAATACACTTGTTTTCTCTGCCCTGGACTGTGGCTGCAGCTTGACCAGCTGCCTTGAATTCCAGCCTTGGCTCCCACTAATGATGGACCAGAAGCTGGAAGGGTGAGCCAAATTAACCCTTTCCTTGCTTAAGCTGCTTTTGATCATTGAATGTTTTCATCACAGCAACATAAATGAAATTAGAACAGAGGATAGCAAAACATAGTCAAATAAAGCTGGGCTATTTATTGCATGGAAGGAAACCTGGGTCTTCACCTCAGCTACCTTGATGGAGAGAAAATCACCAGGCAGCTGGTGAGAATGCACAAGTTTCATCTTGTCATTCTTACATGCTTTTTTAAATAAGCATGTGCTGCTGCCTACTTTTCTAGGGACTGCTCTGAACTCTTCCTGTATTAACTCATTGAATTAATGATGAAAACAATTATCCCTCATAAGATGAAATTTTGCTCTGACTGTCTTGGAACTTGCTCTGTAGACCAGGCTAGCCTAGACCTCACAGAGATCTGCCTGCCTCTGCCCCCAAGTGCTGGGATTAAAGGTGTGTGCCACCACTGCCTGGTGGAAATCTTTTTTGTTTATTTGTTTGTTTGTTTTAAAGAGACTTCTGTGTATTTTAAACATAGGAAATGGAAACAGGGAGAGGTACAGACACAGCCCAGGAGGTCTTTGCTGGCACACACTTCACACTTACATTCCAGGCTCTTCGACTCACAGGTGTGGAGGAGACAAGAGAGCAAAGGCAGAAAATCCAATACAACATGAGGGACTGAGGCAGAGCATAGGGACTGATGAAAGGTGTGGCCATGAAGAGGTGATGCTGGAAGCAAATTTTCAGGGTCCTGGTGCCATCTGGAATGCTACCTTAGCCAGGGTTGCAGTGTCTTAGATCCCCAGCCTGGAGGAAGGGCAGGTCTGCCTGAGCACCTTGGACTGGTGGCGAGAGGCCATCAGGGACCATGAACACACTCCTGGTGTGTGCAGAGACCCCACACTGTGGTCTCCTGCTTGTCTTTCGCACCAGCTGAACACAGCAGCAAGCCAGAGGGCATTGGAGGCCCCTCAAAGCCCCTAGGACTGGGAGGAGGCTGGGCTGGGCACACACAGAGAAAGGCAGGGCATGCGGTTGGCAGCTACACCAGCTGCTTTCCATGGCACCTGTTTGATCCCCACAGCAGCTCAAGGCTGTGTGCAGAATGCAGCATGAACTATTGAATTGGGTCTCACCCCCTTTCTCCCTGTTCTGAGAGGTTCACCCATGAAGTGGAATTGTATAAGATCTAATCATGCCAGCCCCTGAGGACAAGCCCAAAGGCCACCAAGGCCCAACCTACATTCTTCTCAGTGTCACGGGCAAAGAGCACAGAGTGGGAGAAGTGCACAGAGCACAGGACAAGCTGTGCATGAGCTGGAGACAGCTAGTACAGGAGAAGGGGGTGAAGGTGTGCTAGAGACCCTTTAACAGCTCCTGTGCACCGTCAGCTCCGCTGGGGGTTGTTCTTCCTGTGGCAAGTGGGGGCCTAGGGAAGGAAAAGCTTAGTTTAGAGCTTAGTTAGAGAAAGGAGATTGGCGTCTTGCACACAGTAGGTTCAATAAATGCATTTGGAAAAGGGCACTCAAAGGGATACACAGAAAATAAAGATCATGTGCTAGATGGGATTTTAGAGCCAGGAGGCTTAGGCTAGGTCTCAGAGCTGTCTTATCTCTAGGCCTCTGTTTCCTCATCTGTGAAATGGAGATAATATGACCCATCTCCCAGGACTGCTGGCAGGGAAAGCTTGTAGATCAGTGAGCAGAGTGCAGTTAGAATGAATGGGTGAGATGAGAGCCACAGGCTGGGGACCGGGAAGGGGACTTTAGACTCGACCTCCCAGGGCAGGCTCAGCCCTCATCTCCATGGGAAGAGGCAAAGCAGACTTCCTGACGGAGTATGAGACCAGCTCTTCTACAAGAAGGAAACAGGCCCAAGGCAGTTGCAGACATGTGTGCTGAGTGATACAGGGTGACCCCAGAGCAGTCCAAGCGAAGCGGTTCCTGCCTCCCTCAGGCTTTGATTTTGAAAGGGTGTTATAAGAGAGGCTGTGGTTACGCCTGCAGTCCCAGCATTCAGGAGGCAGAGACAGGCAGATCTCTGTGTGAGGCCAGCCTGGTCTACAGAGTGAGTTCCAGTCAGCCAGGACTACTCAGAGAAACCCTGTCTCAGAGAAAAGCAGAAAGAACAAATGGGGGCACAGCTGGGAAGGTTCTGCCCTATCCTAGGAAGTGCTTGTCTGGCTACGGTCTGACCCTGCATTTGTGGATAAATTAGGACAGGGTTGGTGTGAGATTCCTGGTGAAGCAGAGCTGGACCTGGACCTGCAGGCTGGGCTGAAGTGGTCTGGTCAGGTTTGACTTGTGGGCGGGGTCCCTGGATGCAGCAGTCCACAGGACCTGGTGCCCCAGGAACAGGCTGTCTTCTAGGAAGACCATCTCCAGGTGTCTGTGCTTGACTGTAGGAAGACAGAAAAATGGAATCCTCACCTAAAGTTGCCAAGTCCTTTCTAATTTCCTATGCTGACCTCTAGTCTCCAGTCAGCATGTGCTAAGTGTCATCTACGAGGTCAGCCCCTTGCACTTAAGCCTAAGCATGCACAGATGCCGTTCTCCAGAGTTCAGCCCTCGGCTTCTGTCTACAGGAGAGTCCCTCTCCTGTCTCCACCCAGGCTAGAGTTAGACTACATGCCTCACTCCAGCTTGACAGACAGGACTGGCATGCTCTAACCTCCAGAGTTCCATTTTCTTCCTTATCATGGACCAGGTGAAACGGTAGGTGTGCGTGTGTACCACAGTGGACATCCTAGCTATCAACCCAGAGCCTCGTGTATGCGGGCAAGCACTTCACCACTGAGCTCACAAAAGCTTCCACAACAGCGCAGAGAGCCAGGTGTGGTGTCGCATGCCTTTAATCCCAGTGCTGGGAAAACACGGGCGGGCAGATCTCTGAGTTTGAGGCCAGCTCAAACGCAAAATGTGTAAAATTTCAGGCCAGCCAGGCTTACATAGTAAGACCTTGTCTTGGCAACAAACAAACAGACAAATAACCAAGCAAACAAAAATGGAGAGGAGCCGGGAGAATTAGAGCTGTCTCTGAGGCAAAGGGTTGGATGTTGGGGCTTGAAGAGGCCTAGGGGGCTCTCTGCCCTGGAAGGCCCGAGCCCTAGCAGACATGGCACAGCGACCACAGTGGGGCTTGGCATCAGACCTGGGCTCGATCTTAGCTCTGCTTGCTAGCTGTGGCCTTGACTCACCTCTGTGAGCCTCCCTGTATAACGGTGAGAATAGGGTCTCATAGGTCTGATGATGTGAACAGATAGGAGTCCCTGGGAGCCCTGCAAGAGCCATTCCCCTTCCCTTCCTGTCCCCGTGGCTCGCCTGAATGGTATGGTCAGACCACGAGGCAGGAGACTGATGAACCCGCTCAAGGCTATTTGGTTGAGTCTTTGCCTGCACTAGTCCCGAGGAACACAGACTGAAGTTGGCCTTCACCTTCTCGCCAATAAGACAAATTCCAAAAAGTTACCAATCTTAAATTACAGAGGGTTAGGAATGTCCCAGCAGAGCTGAGATATTTCCCGGAGATGGGGGTCGGTTGGTTATCTAGTGGGGAGAGAAGGCTTCTGTGGGGAAGAGGAAGCCAGCCCCTTGGCCATGATTTTACAAGCATCAAGAAGCCATGAAGCACTCAACTGACAGGATGTTATAGATGAAGATTTTTCTGGCCCTGGTCCTAGGGGATTTAGTACCATCTATGATGCCCCTTCCCCATCTTCTAGCCGCAGGGAGCTTCCTACAGGAGGGGGTGCTTCTCGGGGAGCTTCAGGAGTCATTGTCACACACTCTGAGCTCTTGGAGCTCAGCCTGGAGCATGGCCTTCTGGATTCTTCCTGTCCTTAGTCAAACACTCTTGTAGATATAGGAGAAGATGGACCTCAAGGTTGAAACTGGGAATCTGCATTTTCTGCTCAGGTCCAAAGTCTGAAGGGCAGGGCTTCAGGGCCCTCACTACTTTGGGACAGACAGACTCTCCAGGGTCTTGCAAAGTCTTTGAGGTAGCTCTAGAGAAGGTTGCCCAGGTCCTGCCCCGAGCTTCAGGCAGGCAGGATAGCACAGCTTTTGCAGTAGCTTCTCCTGGGAAGGGCAGAGACTGGGCCACCATGATAACTACCCTGGGGACCAGAGGAGAGGAGGTCCCCATGTCCCTTCCAGGACCTGCCTTGCCTTGCTGCTTTGTCTCAGGCTAAAGAGAAACCCAGGAATGCTCCCTTGGAGATTTGCACTAAATTTTCCTGAAGTACAGAATCTGGGACTCCTGGCTCCGCAGCTCCCCAGGGATGGAGGTGTTAATGAAACAGCTCCTGTCTGTGACCTCGAAGGCACAGCTATTGACGTCAGCAAAAGCTGGAATAATGTAACCCAATCTCCCCCTGGGGGAACACTGGGGATGGAGAAGGAATAGCCAGGAGGCTGACTAGTGGACAGAACTCCAGGCCAGGCCAGGCCAGGCCAAAGTGGCCCAGCATAGGCAGTACCAAGGAATTTGGTGGTAGGGTGCTTCTGGTGGGCAGGATGTGTTATCTGAGTGAATGGCCCAAATCCTTCCTCAAAGCATTTATCCGACACTACAGCCGCCATCAGGTGAGACTGTGGGCATCTTCCGTGACACAGCTGTGAGTGCGGCAGCAGTAACATGGAAGTGTGTCGTTGTTGAATTGGGTCCGTGTGTGCACGTGTGCTCCAGCTGGTGTGTGCCTTTGTCTCCTTGCCTGGGCATAAGGGGTTACCGGGCTGTTCCGGGGTGTTCTATACGGGTCTGATATGTCAGGCAGTCTGGTTCCTGGTTATTCTCCTCTCTTTCCATCCTTAGCCTCAGGAGCTGTGATGGGCTTTCTGGACAGTGAGCTCGCCTCCCCAGGTCTGCTGTGGGTGTGCTGGATGCACCTGGGACCTGCAGCTACAATTCTGTCCTTTGGATTTTCAGGTGGATTTTCTAATTGAAAATGATGCAGAAAAGGACTACCTTTATGATGTGCTGCGGATGTACCACCAGTAAGTGTGTGTCTGTGTCGCCAAGCCCAGGGCAGGCCACCTGTGTCACAGGAATCCGGAGTGGGTGATGTCCTCAGACAGAACATGTTCCGGGCTCCTGAGAACCTGTGTGCATGCTGCTTACTTGCTCGAGGCTTCGGATTCTGTTCACATGAACACTTCCTGCTTGGCTCTGGGCTAGGGTTCAGGGAGTAAACTGTGAGCAAGAAAGACTGACCTTGCCTTCAGGATGCTTCCAGTCTGAGCTACGCCCACAGGTTCAGTAGAATATGAATGTTAGGCCAGAACAAGAAAGCCAGCTGTCCCCCAGCCACTTCATCTGCTGTCTCTGGTCATCTGACTTGCTTCTGATTCATTCAGTGTGTGTCTATAAGCTCTGTTAAGGCCCAAAAGGGCAGTGGGTGGGTCAAAGGTCACAGCCGGGGTGATGCATCAGACACTCACCCACCTCCTGGCATCTCCAAAGGACCATGGATGTGACGGTGCTCGTGGGAGACCTGAAGCTGGTCATCAATGAGCCCAGCCGCCTGCCACTGTTTGACGCCATCCGGCCCCTGATCCCACTGAAGCACCAGGTGGAGTACGACCAGCTGACACCCCGACGCTCCAGGTACGTCCCCAGGCTGCAGGCAAGGACCCGGAGGGGCCGGGACACAGTGCCTGCTGGCTGCCAGGCCTGAGCCGGGCCATCACCAGCTCCACCCATCACTGTAACAGAAAGCTGAAGGAGGTTCGCCTGGACCGTCTGCACCCGGAAGGCCTCGGCCTCAGCGTGCGTGGAGGCCTGGAATTCGGCTGTGGACTCTTCATCTCCCACCTCATCAAAGGTGGCCAGGCAGACAGTGTTGGGCTGCAGGTAAGTCAGGAGAGCCAGTAGAATGGGGCCAAGGTCTCTCGTACCCTATCTCCTTCTGTGGCACAGTGTGGACACCCATTTTCTTAAGCCTTTGGGGGAGGAGTGTTCTGATGAGTGTTTGAAAGCCTTCAGGATAAAGGAGAAGTGTGTGTGTGTGTGTGTGTGTGTGTGTGTGTGTGTGTGTGTGTGTGTATCCTCACACATGCTAGGCAAATACTCCATCACTGAACACCATCCAGCCCCTGCCTGTTTTCTTAGGTCAAGCTGGGAACCTAATAGCTGCTCCTCTCCACTGCCACTGAACCCCTTCCTCGCTCCCCCACTTCCTGAAGGAGGAGCAGGGTTAGAGCAGGCACCTGCCACTTTAGTCCAACGCAGTGTGATGCTTAAGAAGCTGGATGCCACCTCTGGGCCATCTGGTTCAGAGCCTGGCCTTGTCTTCTTCCTTAAGCCACGTGACTTTGGCGAAGTGACTCGGCTGGACCTCACTTTCCTCATCCGAATGAATGAGGCAGCGATCACAGCTTCTTGACACACAGGGGCTGTGAGGCTGACATGTTGATACAGAGGGGGAGGTCGGTGAACACTCCAACCGGTCAGTGCACATCACACGAATCAGCCTCATGTTATAGTGTTCGAAGAGGCCAGTGAGCAGCAGAGCCAGGCTTTGAACTTGGGTCTCCTGGGGCCAAGTCAGCATCCAGGCTTCCCTCTTGCGGTCTCCACACTCCTGTGTCTGAGCAGGGACAGGCAGACCTCCAGGTCTCAGGGTTGTTTTTGTAGATCCAGGTAAAAAACTTGAAGAGGTCTTTGTTATCAACATCCATCAGGGGATAAGCCAGGGGCTTCAGGGGGCTCCTGCACTAATGGTGTGAGACCGAAGAGGAGGGGCGGGGACAGCAAGCTGACAGACATGGCTTTGTTCACAATCCCTGTGTCAGGGCTCTCAGCGGCATCTGAAATTTCAGCCCCTTCATTGTTCTTTCCCTTGGTGGCACATTTTCCAGCCCAGAAACACGGCCAGAGGAGAGGACATAATGAGCTCCCCTCTTAGCGTCAGCGGGGGGGCGGGGGGAGCTCTTTTTGTCCAGAGTGAGCTCTCTCCTGAGGACAAGAGCTTCCTTGCAGAACCCCGTGAAGGAGGGCTCCGGGCACGCTCATGAGACCCAGATATCCAGCTTCCCGCCTGCCTCTCAAAGCTTATGCCCCCCTCCCTTCTGGGGCTGCTGGGCCCATCTCTTCTTTGTCCCACTGTCCCTCAGATTGTCATGTTACTGTGGTCTCTGTACAAAGACTCTTTTGCTGGGTTCTATGGGGAGCAAAGGGGGAGAGGGAAGTCGATCCTGCAACCCTACCCAGGGGCCGTGTGGGAATCATTCCGACTAGGGTCTGGGGCAAGTTCCTGTAGTAACAACACAGTGGACTCCACTCAGGAGGAGCTAGGACAAAGCCTGTCTTCTGCCACTGATGGAACCATAGTTCAAGTTCCTCATGCTGGAGGACAGCACAGAGAAGCTTCTAGAAGTCAAGAGGGATTGGACCTGAGCAGCTAGCTGCCCTGAAGGGGCTCAGACCCTCTCATAGGTCCAGTCCTGGGCCACCAACCACACTGCTCCCGGCCCCTCCTGGAAACTGAGGGTTCTCCACACCTTCTGTGTGTTTGACTGTGCCCTTTCCCCACATAAGCATTCAACTGACCATTTACTTGCATAGAAAATGGTCCTCTGCGCCTGTCCTCTTCCTGCTGTGGAACGGACAGAGCAGCCCCTGCCTTCCTGTGGGGCTCAGAGCTCTGAACAGGAAGCGGGAATCCATAGAAGGCAAGACTCAGGGAACTGCAGCCAGGCTCGCCACGTGCCCTCCTTTTCCAGACACCTGAGAGCTGATGTGCGTGATGCCTGTTGTCTGTCACGGAGACCTGACTGCACATCCCAGCAGCCTCTTTGCTCACTGGGACTTTCAGCAAATCACGTGGCCTCCCTGACTCTAGATTTCTTCACAGTGTGCTGTGGCCCCCACAGAAAGGCCTTTCCTGCAGAGCAGAAACACAAGGTCCTCCTGCTCTTTGGGGTTGTAAAAAAAAAAAAAAATAGGTGCAAAGAGCTATCCTGAGGCTGTTCTCTTGTTCTCTTTGAAGTCAGTCAGTGTCCCCAGAAATGTAGAACGTTCCTTAGTGAGCCCTCCTGTCACGACACTGAGAGGATGGGTGTTTGTGTCCCAAGCAGAGGGCAATGGCAGGTGACCGTGTTGCATTCCGGGAGCCGACCTGGAGACCGTGCACCCTCAGAGTGCAGCCTGAGTCCCCCACGTGTGCCAGCTCTTCCCCAAGAGACCAGTGCATGGCGGCTCTGCCTCCGTCTGCAGGACGCCTGAGTGTGGTTCCTGTGCGGCAGCTACTGCAGGACATCCTCGCCCCCGCCCCCACCCTGCCTCTCGCCTGTCCCTACCCTAGACCCACTGTCTTCTCTCCTGAGATGTTGGCAAGGCTCCTTCAGCTGTTTGGTTACTCTTTTTTATTTACCTTCAGTGTAAATCTCCAGGGCTTCAAGGAGGCAGTGGCGATGGCCAGCAGGGGGCAGGCTTGTCACGGTCTGTCTCTTAGAGCTTGCTCCCTAGGCTCCTTAATAGTAATTACCATTTATTAAGAACCTGCTGTGGGCCCCATTCTGGCTGGCCTTACACACTTACACACATCTCTGTTAATTCCCAACAGCTCCATGGTGGCTCCTGTTTTATATACAAAAGAAACTATCGTTCAGAGAATTCATGAGACTTGACTCATGTCATATAACTAATAAGAATTTTTAAAGGATTTGAGCCCAGGAGAATCAGAGCCCAGAGAACCAGAGTCCTGTGTTCATTCTCTGATGTACGCCTGCTCCCAGAATCAGGATTCAGAAGTCAGTGTAACTTCACTGAGCTTCCAGGGAATGGAACAAAAGAAATTGTGCGTTCGTGTTAGCAATGTGAGCTTAAGTCAAGAGTCCTTGGACCCCCGTTCCAGCTCACAGTGTATGTTAGTCATTGACAGGGACAACAGCCTGCTTCTGGGGGCAGGGAAGGACAAAGGCCAGACAGGGCTGCTCAATTCCAGAGCCTGATGGTACCTCAGTAGGGTGACGGAGGAGCCAAGATGAGGAGACAGAGTCCGGAATCCTGCCTCAGTTCTGTTACTACACACACACACACACACACTGCCTGCTCCTCCCCACCCCCACCCCTGGCCTTAGTTTCTCCATCCTGAGACTGAAAGCATTGCCTGGCTCTGAAGGCAGTCGGGCTGTGACACGGTTCTGGAGCACACATTAAGGCTTTTGCCTGGTGACAGTCCTTTCTGAGGCTGGGAACATCTGGTATGGGCCTCCTCCACCACTTGGCGCCTCTCCTCCATGCTTGTCCCATCTTTCGGTCTGCCAAGGTCGGGGACGAGATTGTCCGGATCAACGGCTATTCCATCTCCTCCTGTACCCACGAGGAAGTCATCAACCTGATCCGCACCAAGAAGACTGTGTCCATCAAAGTGAGACGTGAGTGAGGCCAGATGGGGCTGGCTCTTTGTGATGGGGGTGGCCCCAACTCCTAGGGCACAGGAGTTTCCTAACATGCTGGGTTTTCCCCCACAGACATCGGCCTGATCCCTGTGAAGAGGTAAGCAGGCCTGCGTGTGGGTCTCGCCACAGGTCAGGAGTCCTGGGATCTGGCTCCCCCATGCCCTGAACTAGCATGCCTCTGGACTGGGGAGTGAAGGCACAGAGCCAAGATCCCTCAAGTGTGCTTGCTGACCCCCCTCTCCATGTCCCCTTCTCCTCAGCTCTCCTGAAGAGCCCCTCAAATGGCAGTATGTGGATCAGTTTGTGTCAGAGTCTGGGGTAAGAGACCATTGCTTCCTGTGACAGGGGGTGGCCAGCTGGTCTTGAAGGAGAGATGGTTCTGCAGAATGCATCCTCTCGGGCTTCCCATAGGCCCCTCGGGTGCCTGGCATACCCCTATAACGTGGTAGGCCTCCAGACCCACACCCCAGGGCTACAATGGCTATTTGGTCTCTGTGAATATAAGGTGCTTAACCTGGAGGTCAAAAGAGGCCACTTGAATGTATATGGAACTAGTAACCTGATTCCGCCCCTCCTTCAGGGTGTGCGAGGTGGCTTGGGTTCACCAGGCAACCGAACAACCAAGGAGAAGAAGGTGTTCATCAGTCTAGTAGGCTCCCGGGGCCTGGGCTGCAGGTGAGTGGCAGACATGGGGCTCAGTCTCCAGTCTTTAGGTGGGTGGCATTCCCAGAGCTCAGTGACAGCCAGGAGTCCCCAACACTTAGCTCTCCCTTTCCTCGCCACTGCTCCTGGGCATTCTTGCTTTTCTGCAGTCCTAACACAGGGGAGGCAGAGGCAGAAATAGCCTTGGGTAGCTAGACACTGTCTCATAAAATAAAACAATAAGCGACCACACATAGGAGCCAGAAAACCCTGAGTAGGCTTTGGGCCATGGGGAGCCCTCCTGATGAGCCTGCAGGCTACAGTGGCTCGGATATCTGTCCCAGCCCTGCCAGGCCATGTGTCAGTTCTCAGACTTGCAGCAGTGACTGAGCCACAGTCTCTTCCTCTATAAATACCCGGGAGGGATTCTGTCGTGGTGCTGCTATAAAGAAAACGAAGTCGCACGCTCAGTACCCAGCAGGTAGTAAGCAGCTGGTGGATGCTATTTATTATTAGTTAAGTTGTTCCTGTTATTTACTTTCTTTTGTATTCACTTAACACTTTTATCAAGGATGTAGTCTTTTAAAAGGTTACATGTGTATGTCTACATGTATATCTGTGCACTTTAGTGTGCAGGCCCACCAAGGCCGGGAGAGGGCATCAGATCCCCTGGAGCAGAAGTTACAGATGGTTGTATGCTGCCTGCCATGGGTGCTGGGAACCAAACTCTGTACTTCTCTTCATGAGTACCAAGTGCTCTTCACTTCTGAGCCATCTCTTGCCCCAGAAATTGTTTGTTGTCTTTTGTTTTTCAGACAGGGTCTCACAGTGTAGCCCTGGCTGGCCTCAGACTCACAGAGATCTGCATGTTTCTACATCCTGAATTCTGGGATTAAAGGTGTGGTCCACCACACCTGGCTCCATAAATGGTTTTGTTTTGTTTTGTTTTGTTTTGTTTTGTTTTTTTCCAGACAGGATTTCTCTGGGTAGCCTTGGTTTTCCTGGACTTGCTCTGTAGACCAGGCTGGCCTACCACCACGCCCAGCTCATTAATGATTTTTAATGTCTGTCCTTGGGTCTGAGGATATTGCTTAGCTGGTGGGGTGTTTGCCTAGCATGCACCAAGACCTGGTTTCAATCCTTAGCCCTGTACACACTGAGCATGGTGATGCACAGCTTGAGAAATAGAGACAGGAAACCAGAAACCCAAGGTTATCTTTAGCTGTATAGTATGTTTGCTCTTAGTCTGGATTAGATGAGACCTATCTCAAAAAATGAAAATGAAATTCAAAGTTCTTCCTTTCTGGGAGAAGGCAGTCTGATACAGAAGCTAGCCACAGAGATAGTTACAATATTGTGTGATAAAGATGGAGCCACACCCTGGGTGAAGGGTGGCAAATAGGCTTCCTGCCTGTGCCCACCTCTCATCAGATAACAGTGGCGTCCTGGGACACTCTTCTGTGAAAGGTTCTAAGTTGGTCTCTAGCTGGGTGGAAAAGAATTCTGTGATTGATTAGTGAGGTCTGCCATAGACCTGGGAGAGGAAATAATAGTACAAGAGCCATCCTTGCTATTTATAATTTAGAAGCACTAATACCGCTGGGACAGTTAGCTTAACTGGGGTCTGGTGAAAGTCTCACAGTTATAAGGAATGAACAGGAAAATTCTAGAAAGAAAAACAACACATGTTGGTTGGGTGAGGGGCTAAGGAGATGAAGTCACTAGGAGTTTTCTGTGCCTGCTGCCTGGGCAGCAGTGGAAGGGGCTGGAAGGGAGATAAAGACAGGATGACCTGTGTCCTGAGTGTTAGCCGTCTAGACAGGGCCACGTGCTGGTCACTGAGAATGAGCAGAGCTTCAGGGGATGAGCCACAAGCCTCACCCAAACCTCTGCCTCTCACAGCATCTCCAGTGGTCCCATCCAGAAGCCTGGCATCTTCATCAGCCACGTGAAGCCTGGCTCCCTGTCCGCAGAGGTGGGGCTGGAGGTAAGTGCCGGGTTGGGGCGGGGCAAGCCGGCACACACTGACAGATGTTGCACCTCCCCACACAGCCTTGTCCTGGCAGCAGGGGCCGGTGACTCGCTGGTGGGCTCCTCTGGGGGAGGCACTGCAGAGGAATGGGCCCCTCACAGCCTTCTTCAGCTCTGACAGCCACTGGTCCTGAGTTTGTGGTGATGATAATTAGAGCTGACATTCTGAGTCCCGTCACGGCTCTGAGGGGTTAGGCACTAATGTTATCTATCCCACACTGAGGAAACCAGCTCCAGAGACACTGTTTCCTCCAAGGCCGTGTACCTAGGACTGGGAGTCAAACCTGCATGGTCTTCCCTCAGGGCTGAGACTCTCAATCGCTTCTTGAGACAAATGCCTCACCTGCAAGATAAGGATTCCAGAACCCTCCTTCTAGAGTTGCTTTGCAGCTTTAGTTAATTTTCAGGCTGGATCCCTGCCAGCCACATGACACTGATCAATAAATGTCAGCAATGACTGTGGCTGTAATGAGGGTCCAGTAAGGCCTGTGCTGGGTGGAAGGGCCAAAGCCTTCTGTAAAGGAAATATCATAACTTAGCAAAAGACATTAACATCTAATAGTATGATATTTGATAGCCAATAAGACCATTATGAGATGGAGGGGTGCCAGGTGAGCTTGGGGCCCTCCAAGAGCCCTATTGGAACGTGCCACCTGGTCTGTTCCTTGGAAAAAGAATTTGGCTGCTTGACCACAAGCCTACATGTCTAGCATGCCAGGAGAACTTCCTGTAGATGAATGTAGAGATTAGACAGACAGACACACACACACACACACACTCTCTGACCCTTTTCTGTTTCTCCCCAGACAGGAGACCAGATTGTGGAAGTCAATGGCATCGACTTCTCCAACCTGGACCACAAGGAGGTGAGCTGTGTATCCTGCCGTATCTCCTCCCACACACTTGTTCTAGCCACGATGGCTGAAACCCTCACGCTCTCAGCCTGCACTGCTCCAATGTGACCGTCCCCCTGCCTCCACAGGCCGTGAATGTCCTGAAGAGTAGCCGCAGCCTGACCATCTCCATCGTAGCTGGAGCCGTAAGTCCACAGCGAGACGATGGCCCCGTGACCCCTGACCAACGAAGATGCCCACATTCCCCAGGGGCTGAGCGTCCTTTCCCACCCTGACAGGGCCGGGAGCTGTTCATGACAGAGCGGGAACGGCTGGAGGAGGCCCGGCAGCGTGAGCTGCAGCGGCAGGAGCTCCTCATGCAGAAGCGGCTGGCCATAGAATCCAACAAGATCCTTCAGGAGCAGCAGGAGATGGAGCGCCAGTGAGTGGACCCTGCCGCTTCCCGGCCAGACTCAGCTACTTCCGCCTGCTTGTCCTGCTTGTTTCTGTTGTGCCCTCAGTGGCAGGACAGGCGTCCATCCTGCTCCTTAGACAGCCTGGCTCCTTGCTAAAGAGACCTGGCTTTCAGACACCAGTACTATACACGAGAGGCTCCTGCCGGCCACAGTGAGCGTGCACATGCCTGTCATGTCACTGTATTCAAGACTTTGTTTGTTACTAGCTTAGTGCCTGTGGTGTCCCTATGAGGTAGATGGTATCAGCCCATTATATAGGAGAGAAGGCTGAGGCTCAGGAAGGTGAAGCTGCCTGTGGCCAGAGCCATAGGTGGCCAGGCTGGGATGCTATCCAGTCTGGGTCAGGAGCCTGGCTGTCGCCATGGGGACACCTACCTGTGGTGACAGGCCCCACCTCTCCCTGTCTGAAGTAGCGAACTGAGAAAATCAATGTGATAAGCAGGTCGTAAATCAAAACCCGTGTCAGACTACCAACTTTGATGTATTTGGGTGCTCACTGAGTGTTTGGGAGGGGAAAGAGAGCTCCATCTCCTCCATCACACACTTGGCCTGGTGGGCAGCCCTGCTTTACCTCTGCTTGGCACCTGCTGCCTGCTCCTGTGGCACACAATCCCTGCTCAGCAGCGCCAGGAGAAACTACCCAGGAGCACAGGGCCTAGACTTAGCAGAATCGCTTCCACAGCCAACCCGGGAAGAGCGACAGCAGAAAACAGTTAAAATGTCTTGCAGATCAGCAATCAGCCACAAGAAGAGTGAAATCTCTGTGCATACACTCACACAGGCCAACCTCTGTTTCAGGAGGAGAAAGGAAATCGCCCAGAAGGCGGCTGAGGAGAACGAGAGATACCGGAAAGAGATTGAGCAGTGAGTGTGCGGGGTCCAGCCCTCGTGCCCATGGCCACAAGTCCCGAGCAGAGCTAGTTAGATTCGTAGACTCATCTGTGTGACTCCACAGCATCACACTGAATCACAAGAAATTCACAAGACACACTGACTTCGTTGCCTCAAATCCACCAATAGCTCCAACCCCTCCCCCCTTTTTCTTCTTCCTGAGACAGGGTTTCTCTGTGTAGCCTTGGCTGTCCTCGACTCACGTTGTAGACAAGGCTGGGCTCAAACTCACAGAGAAACTTTTGTCTCTGCTTCCCAGAGTGCTGGGATTCCAGGCGTGCGCCACCATGCCCGGCTCCATTTCCCTCCTTTATTCCAACCCTAGTTGCTGTTACTACAGCACTTATGGCGTGCTCCGCACGGTGTCACATGAGAAGCCCCAGGGCCGGTGGGAAGGGCCTGGCTGGCTGTCCCCTGTGCATGTCTGTCGATGGACCTGTCGCTGTGACAGTATCGGGTGTCCTTCTCTTTACGGGATCCAGGTTGGGGTGTTGCCCCCTTCCCCAGTCTAGTGTGCTGGGTAAGTTTCGGAGATCGTTTCTCCGATACAGTGTTCAAGACCCATGTGCCCATGTGTTCCCAGCTTCCTGTGGGTGTTTCTAGGTGGTGCCTCTCTACTCTTATGAGTGAGCTGTCATGGGTGGTCCTGGGTACATGGCAGTGTCTACGTGCACAACAGTTGCAGGGTCTCCCCACCTCTGCATTTTTCCTCACAACAGAGACAAACGCTGCTTTGTGTCATGGACTCACTCAGGGCAAGGCACAGCCCGAAGCTATTGTTCCAAACAAGGTGGAGTGACTCAGTCCGGGGCTGCTCTCGGCGCTGCACCTACGTGTGCCCACAGGAACGTGGCAAGCCACCTGCTGAGCCAGCTCACTCCGCTCTAAATCCTCTCTTCTCAAAATCCCTCTTTAATTCTAATGGAGCCTTTCATCTCAGCAGAGCGCACTGCTGAGGCTGTGTGCACTCAGCTTAGACACACACACACACTGCAGTTGTGGTTGTGGTCCTGGCTTGCCCTAGAGCCATAAAGCCTCCCTTTCCAAGCTGGCAGGGTCCTCTGGTAGCAACAGGTGAGCCTCTGGAGGTTCTGCCGCCAAGCACAGGTATGGGGTCTCCTTTCAGGATCGTGGAAGAGGAAGAGAAGTTTAAGAAGCAGTGGGAGGAAGACTGGGGCTCAAAGGAACAGCTCATTCTGCCTAAAACCATCACCGCAGAGGTGCACCCGGTGCCCCTCCGCAAGCCCAAGTGTACGTATTACCTGTCCGGGATGAGGGGGCCCTTCATGGCCCGAGGCTAAGGGGCTCGATGGGAATGCGGTCTTCTGCACTCATCAAGCCCTCCCCACGGGAATATCCCAGGGCTGTCTGGGCTGCACTTCATGTGGGGAGAGGCAGTGCGGACCTCCCACTCCAGGCGCGCCTTGGAGTGGGAGGTCCTTGTCTGGGGGCGTCTGGTTCACGCACCAGCAAACACGCCGTACCCGACACAGATGCCGTGGATCTTTGGGATGCTGCAGAGGGGACAGAGAGCTTGGCGGGTGTGGAACTGGCTTCCAGGATGACTCCTTGAGCCTGCTGGATGCCGGGCTGTCTTCTGGCCTGGTTCTGAACTTGGGCTGGCTTTCGACGAGCATCAGAAAAGAGGCTGTAGATCTCTGGTGGTCCAAGGTTGACAGGCAGCTGGGGGAGGGGCTGGTCAGAGCGCCAGTCACAGATATTCCTGCACGTGGGCAGCTGAGGGTAGAGGCAGGGACAGGAGCACGGGAGCCCGAGGCTATACCATGCTGGGCCTAAGCCGTCTCCTCTTTAGCAGGCGTGTGCTCCTCCAGTCTCAGCTCAGGCCTCCATCAGAAGCTGCCCACCCGCTTGCTCTCAGCCCTATCTTCCAGGCTGTCTGAGGAGCGAGAGGAGGAGAGGGACTCCAAGCAGTGTGGGGCCATGGTCGTCACAGGGCCCTCATTCCTGACTAGGTCTTCACTCCCACCCCTATGGGCAGGTTCTCCTAGCCTCATTGTGCTCAGGCCTAGACTATGGGAGCCCCCAGCTGGGAGTTTCCCTGAACACTAGAACCAAGGTTCCTCATTGCGATGGGGTCTAGGTAGCTCACCCAGCTGGCGATCCCACCAGCACCGTTCAGAGAAAGCCCCTTGCCAACACCAGGACAGCCATGCGGTACTGAGATTCCTCCATTTCATCCTCCCCGGCCTGTTTCTTCCTGGCAGCAGGGCACAGGTGTCATCTCTCAGCATGACAAGGCTCACTCTCACCACCTCCCCCTGCTCGTCCACGCTTGCTGAGGCTGTGGCCCCAGATAAGTTTCCAGTGAATAGCTTGTGCTTTAGACGGGGGCTAGTTTCTCTTGTGAGTGAAACGGGAGCTTCAGAAGGAGAGAAATCGATTTTAATTGCTTCTCCTGAAGGTAATCTGAGTCAGTGCAGTGCCCTTCACAGAAGCACACCCTCTCAGGGATTGTGGAAAATAAAAGCCCTTTCACAAGCTAGGTATTTATTTAATGCTTTTTAACCAAATTACATTTCCTGAATAAAAGGAGCAAGAGTTTTCCCTGTACTCAGCTCCGCTATCCCGAGGCAGCACACAGCTTCAGATTGATGACTGAGTCCTCTGCCCACCTGGGCGGCTGCAGCCAGCTTCACGGCGCAGGCACTAGCCTCATGTTTGCTCTTTCTTTTGTTGCTATGACCAAAACAAGTTAAGGACATAATGGTTTGCTTTGGCTCACGGTTTGAAGATACAGGCCATCATGGCAGCGAAGCCATGTCAACCAGAGTATGAGGCAGCTGGTCATGTCATGACACACACACACAAATAGGCACACACAGAGAGACACATACAAATAGACACACACACAGACATACATAGACACACACACATGGTGAGGCTCAGCTCACTTGCTCCTTTTTATTCAGTCTGGTACCACAGCCCATGGAATGGAGCCACCCACATTAGGATGGGACTTCCTGCCTCAGTTTACCCAGTCTAGACCCTTCCTCATGGAAGTACCCAGGGCTTTGCCTCCCAGGGGCTTCTAGATCGAGTCAAGTTGACAGTACCTGCGATAGCAGTCAGGCCTCTGAGAAGCTTCCTTCTGTCTCTCCCCAGCCCCACTCCACAGAAGGCCTCAGAGGTAAGGGAAGGCTGCATGGCTAGCAGAAGCCCCCCAAACAGCTTGTTCAGCTCTGGACCCAGATGGCCAGCCGGTTAGACCTTAGACCTGACAAGGGCTTCGTGCCTGTGAGGGGGGTGGGGGTCCCTGCCTCTCTGAGCCTGGAACATCCAGCTCCGGGGACAGGAAGCAGCCTCAGCGTTCAGGCTGCACTGGCAGCTTTCCCAGCCCTGGTCTCCCAAGGCCATGACAGCTGCCTCAGCCATCCACCCATGGCCAGCCACACCCAACACTGCCCAGTCCTCAGAGCATGGACACACGGTCACAGAGATGCCTCCTTAGCGTAGCAGCAGAGGGTGAGGGAGGAGAGTTTTCTTTCTTACTTTTTAATCAAAGACTCCTCCTGTTAGCTAGAAGATGAGGGGCTTCAATGCAACATTGCTAGCACCCTCTCCCTCAAGGATACCCCCAATTATCGCCCACCCAGCAGACCTATGATTTGAAAGTTGGTGGGAGTTTTCTCTCAAACCAAGCACCCTTTATGTCTCCATTGTCTTAATCGTCCCTCTATCCAGTAAGTGTGACTGGAGCTGACAGCAAAGCAACTGAGCACCAGCCCTGAAAAGGAAGACCTTATGAAATCTCAAAACATAGTTCACAAGCAGGCTTCTATACGCCCTTCTGGGGTCCCAGGGAGGCCAGGCTCCAGCTTATAAATAACTGGAGTGGGTAGACGTTTTTTCCACACGATGTTGAGACTCCTGTTACCCTAATGGCATATACCCTTCGTATGTCGCTTCCTTGGGAGTCCCAGCCTTCATCTGCTGCCCCCATAGCTCAGGTAACCCCCTGGGGGATGTTAAGCCCTAAGATGAGGGCATGAGAAGTAAGAAGATCCATTCCCCCGTGAAAAGCCTTTCTCCTCAGACAGATCTAATGCTCAGCCTGCCTTCTCCCTGCACCCCCAGCTTTCACCCCACTGCCCCGCTGAGCAGTTCTAATGCTGGTGTCGGATTAGAGGCCGCTGAGGCTCAAGGCACTGTGTGCACCGGCCAGAGCAAGAAAACCTGCTCTTGAGCCCTGCTGCTGCCCCTGCCCCCATAGCTTCCTGGAGACAGCCCCTCTTCTGAAGCCTCTTGGTTTGTCAGCTTGCCCCTCTCTTCCCTGGGTAGATGGTCAGGGAGTGGAGGCCAAGCTGGAGCCTGCAGACCACCTGGATGGAAGCACAGAGGAGCAGGGACAGCAGGTTGGCGCCCATGCTTTGCTCCCCGGCTTGGCTGCCCTGCTTGCTCTGCCCAGCTCCTTCAGAGAGAGTGGAGAGCCCAGCTCGAGAGAGCTGGGCTACGGTGGGAACCACTGGGGTCTGTGAGGGTGCTCTGAGTGCTGAACCTTAGGGACAAGACTCATGGCTACATGACAGTGCCGCAGAGCCACTAGCTCAAATGTTTAAATGCTGCCCATCCCAGTCCCCCCACCCTAGTGCTCTGGCCTTTCCCACAAGACTGACTCCCTAGCCCCCTCCCACATCGGCCGCTGAACTGGGATGCCTGATCTAGCCCTGAGCTCAACAGGCAGCCCTGCCAGGAGGGCATGGGCTGTTGTCACCATTAGCCTTGAGGGTTCAGGTCTGGGGTTCTGCTCACTGCCTGAGCAAGGGGAGTATGCCTTGTTTATCTGGCTTGGGTGGGGCATTTGCTTTCTGGAAGCTTCTCTCCTGCTTGCTGTTACCACAACCACACTTCCAGAACCTTCCAGAATGACTACCTTTCTTTGGTGCTAAGAGGGGCTGTGATCTGAGCTGTGAGACACTTCGGCCCTTTCTGGCAGCAGTTCCAGGCAGAGGCTTAAGCTGCCTTTTGTTCAAAGCCTTTTCTTAGACGTGGAGACCAGGCAGCAGCTTAGGGAGTGCTTGTCTCTCTTTCCTGGGGCCATTGTGTTTGCTGTCATGTTTGCCGTCGTTTCTGTGATTTGGAAAAGCATGTCTTTCCAGAAGGACGATCTTTCTGGTTTTCTGGCATGAACTTCCGAAGCCAGCGTTCTGGGGAGGCACACTGCTGGTGACCTGGGAATCAGGGTGGCACTCAGGCGGCCCCTGCTGTGCCCCAGATCCGTCACTGGGTGAGGGGAAAGCTGGCCAGAGAGCATGATTTCGCTGCCGGAGTTCACAAAGCCACACGCTCTTTGGGAATCTAACTCCCAACTGTTGCCCACGGTTTCCGAGTCTCATCCTTTGTCCTCTGTCATTGTAGCCTTTGGGTGGTTTTACCGGTACGATGGCAAATTCCCAACCATCCGGAAGGTAGGATGGGCCTGAGCCAGGTGCCGTGTGCCACTGAGTTTGATGTGAGCTGTGGTGTCTTCCATACATTTCTTTTCCTCTCCGCTTGCAAAGCTGACCCTTCCACCCCTGTCCGTCTGATGTCTGGCATGGCTGCCGTGTGGAGGTGTCACGGGAAGGGACCGAGCATTTCTAGCATGAGATTTGCCTAAGCCCTGGGTGGTTCTGATGGGCCTGGACAGGGGCGAACAGCTTCAGACTTGCTGTGCCAAGCAGGACCAGAGCCAAGACCGGAAGCCTGGGCTAGATAGGGTGAAAATGCTGGCAGTGGGGGAGGTGACATAAAGCACCTCATAACGACCCTGCCAGATGTCGCTTTTGTGGAATTTGGCACCCCATTCTGGGAAAGCAACCATATTAATTCCAACTATGCTCTAGACCTATCTCTACCCAGGGCTAGGATTATGTATCTTTCCATTTTCCAAGACCTTTAATTTTCTGCCTAAATCTTATTATGCTATCTCCAGGCCCCATAAAACTCTCATCTTTTGTCTTACTGAATTTCATCAACATTTGATTATGAAAATGCCATGGTTAGTATCTGCACTGTATATTGGACATTCAAGATGGCTTGGTATTTGGAAATCTGGCTGCCAGCATAAATCTGAGTGAATTCAATTTATGACCTCACTGGACCAGCTCAGCTCTCTCTAACAAGGTTCCTCGGAAGCAAGGCTGCGGCAGCAATGTGAGGCTGGGGCATTGCCCAGCACACCCCAGTTACACGACAGCAGCGGTATTCCGGCACAGGTGTGTGCTTTCCCTGATCCCAGGTTTGCAGAGCAGCGAGCAGGCTTAGGCCACAGCTTCTGCAGGACGTCTTCCCATCCCCGTTACAGTCTCCTAGGGCTGTCTGTGCCCTCTGTGTCACAGGCTGAGTGCACGGCTTGAAGTCCTGTCCAACCTTTTGACACTGTGACACGCCATTGTCATCTGTAAAACTCAAATGCAGCTGAGTTACAAAAGCCTTGCAAAATAATCTCATTGTTTTAGGTAAGGCTATGGTTTTTGTATTGGGCTGTATCTGTAGCTGTCTTTGCTGCAGGATAAAGGCCAGACTCTGGGGCAGACCTTCTGAGTTAGACTGCCGATTCTTTCCATCACAGCCTCTATTAGAGTTTGATCCTCTGAATTCTCTAAAGAGAACAGTGTAGGCTGTACACATGTACACACATGTACACAGTGTGTGGACGTGCTCAGACATACACACACACACACACACACATTATTACATACATCAATGCACACACTGAGCGTGTGCATACGTACCACACACACACAGACTTCGCGGGAAAAATAGTAAGTGCGAACCGATAAGCCATGCGTTCTTCAGACAGGAATAGCAGTGGAAATGGAAATGAGCTGGAGTGTCCTGCACACATGAGTCGCCTTCCCTGGAGGCTGCTCTCGGGGAAGGGGTCGGGCTAGGTTCCCCATCACCGACCGTCGTTGTGCTAGAATCAGCTGATATTTTAGTTTCTGTTTTCATTTCCCAAAAGAACAGCTGTTGGTCGATAGAATCTCTTCTCTCAGCCTGGATGGAAACAGATATTTGCCATAAATGTAACTGATGATTAAAGGGCCAACATGAGCACCTCCCTCACACCAGCTCTGAAAACCCATCATCAGTCATCACTTTGTCCAGAGCCACTGGGGATGGTTTGTTTCTCGGTAGCTGGAGCGAAGGAATATGGGGGGGACGGGGGGAGAGTGGTGTCCACAGCCATAAGCATCAGGAGGTGAAGTCCCCTTATCTGAAAGGAGAGATTTCATGTCTCTTATTTCTACCCTGACAAGTCCTCTCAGTTCAAGACTGCCAGTTCACGTGGCCCCAGGCTCTGCGTGGCCTGGAGGAGTCATGGCTCAGTCCAGGACCCTTCACAAGAACTGCTTGAGTGACCTGAGGTTTCGAGACAGCTCAGTAGCTAAAGCATTTGCCTCTCAAGTGTAAGGACCTGAGTTCAGATCCCAGAATTCACATAAAAACTTGGGCATGACAGAATGCACCTGTGATCTCAGAGATGACTGAGGTAAGGGCAGAGACAGGGAGGGCCCTGGAGACACACAGGCCTTTGTGGTAAAGTTCCAATCCAGCGAGAGAGTCCGGCTCAGACAAAAGGTGGAAGGCTCCCAGGGCTCACTGCCTAAGGCTGTCCTCGCTCTCCACACAATATGTGCTGCAGCAATGTGTGTGCGCCATGCCTACCTCATACACACACACGCACACACACACACACACACACACACACACACACACACACACACACAC